GGGAGAGCTATAAAATTCATCATCAGTGTCCAATGAATTATCACCAATATTCAAATTGATTTGTCCACTTGGGCTACACGTTGCCACATTGCCACAAGAAAGGATTTCTTTGTGCCTTTGTGACATAAACATGTCACATACAGAATCAAGTAGAACAAAAAGCAGACAGAGGTGTGTGCAGGTACCTGAGTGGGTGAATGAGCAAGCCCAGGTAAAAGGCAACGGACAGAGAAGCAGGGAGGTAGCACGCATTTTTAATCAGCTGGTATAGCTTCTCCTGAACTAAGGAAGTACGTTTTGTAAATCCATCTGAAAATGCTGTAGGAAATAGAAATAAATGAAAGTCCAGTTTATTTGAAGATCTGGCTAAAACCATATCCCTGGGGGAAAAGGACCAGAACACCTTACATATGGAGTAAATATTCTAATAGCATGGGATTTGCCAAGACAAATGTAGGTTGTTCATTGGTTTGTTCTCTTTCTTATAAGTGTAATGACTGGCACATACTTAATATTCAATGTCAAATCAATTATCAAGGGAGATGTGACTTGGCATTTTTATCAATTAGAATACAATAATTGATAAACACTGACTCTGTAAGGAACTGCATATCTATAACTCCATTTTTTTTTCAAAATAGTGAGAATGGTAATAAGATGTGAGTATGGAGCCTTTTAATCTTTCCTTAATCTCTTATCTACCCAAGGGGTTTTGCATCTTTTCTGTAAAATCCAATACTCCATTCTGGTATTTTTTTTTTAGATAGTTTTTTCTTTCAAAGAAAAAAATACAATGAACTGATGTTTCAGATTCTCTCTTTCTTTTCTTTCTTTCTTTCTTTCTTTCTTTTTTCTTTCTCTTTTTCTTTCTTTCTCTCTTTCTTTTTCTTTTGAAGACCAGCCTTGATCTATTTAGCAAAGCAAGACAAAGTAGGGAGAAATAGAAAGGGAAAGAGGGGCACTTCCTGCCTGACATGCAGAAGTGGAAGCAAAAAGCTCCCAGTTTGCATTTTTCTTTTGTAACTTTTTTTCCGATATATGCATGAATTAAGTAAAAAGAAATTCGATGTGGGGACTGAAGATATAGCTCAGTGGTAGAGCATTTACATGGCATTTGTGGGGTCTGAGCTCAATCCCCGTTACAGGAAAAGAAGAATGAGGAGGAGCAAGAGGAGAGAGAGAAGGGAGAAGATGAGAAAGAGGAGGAGGTGGAAGAGGAAGAGAAGGAGAAGAAGAAGAAACAAGAAAAGAGGAGGAGAAGAAGAAGGATAAATAATCCAATTTGGTGAAACCAAAGGATTCCAACTTAAAAAAAATAAGAGGGGTCTTTGTGTGTTCAAAAACAAACCCATAATCCCCAGGAGGGTTCCCTATTCTAATTACATACATCATTACCACCATGGCTAGGGTTTTAAGCCTATGATCAAGCCATCTAGGCCAAAAAAGAATGTAAAATGTTTCTTATAACATGATCTATTTGTATCCCTTTCTTCCTTGGAACATTTGTCACTAAAACACTATTGTGTTTTCCAAGATGCTATAGGAACAACAACAACAACAAAATCACATTTCATTCAAAAACTAAATGTATCACACAAAATACTTTACTCTGGAAAGTAGAGTTTCTAAAAAGTACTATACCAATATGTGTCTCTTGCCTCAGTAAAACCAAAAATGTAGATTTATTGATAGTTTTGCAAAGCCCTTTCATATATAATCTAGTACTAACAATTTCCTTATGAAGTAGGTGAAGAAACATTTTATTATTTTGCAGATGAGGAACAGGCTCAGTTAGCTGAGGGAACTTGTTAAATGTCACACAGTTTAGGAGAGTGGTAATAATACAGTCTTTCAACCTAAAGCAGCATTTTTTCTACTCTAGGTGTGTATTGGTCATCAGTCCTACCTTGATCTTTGTTTTATTCTTTGTGCTATAGTTGGAATTAAGAGTGGCTATTCTAGGTCTGGTGGGGTGGCTTGAGTGGCAGAGCACCTGCCTAGGAAGTGTGAGGCCCTGAGTTCAAACCCTAGTCCCAAAAGAGTGGATATACCATAAGAAAACAAAAAGAGGCCCAAGGTATTCTTTTTTAACATTAAGATTCTCCATTTTAAAAAGAACACATTATCCAAGGGTAACAATGTTTTTGAGACTTAAGAAATGAGAACAGAGGGCCATGGCTCTTACCAAAGCTCAGCATGGGGTTATGATGGGAGCAGCAAAATGGTCTCAGATGTATTTGATGATTCAGATGTAAATGGTTCAGTGCTAGTGTTACAAGCTTTTCTTGGCTTTTCATTGAATACATTTGAAACTCACTCATTGAGTGCTGGCATTGCACTATCCTCACTGTGTGATGAGAATTAAAAAATGAATGAGTATGTCTAGTGATTAAAAGAGGTAAGTAAATTCAATAATTAAATTAAAGCAAGTTTAATGTATAAAAAGGTGTTGGAAAATTCCAGGTGTTGTTTTCCTTTTGTCAAAGAGACATTTAGCAAATAGCAGCTGCTCTGGGCCTACCTGCAGATAGCTTTAGTTATGAGAGGAATGAGTAAGGATGCCTTATTTTCCCTGAGGAGTCAACAGTACAATTAAGACACTTTGGGGCAGGGGAAATGACTCAGTGGTAGAGTGGTTGCCTAGCGTGGTGAGAGGCCCCGGGTTCAATCCCCACCATAGCAAACAAAACAAAAACAAACAAAAAACCCAACAAAACGAAAGACATTTCATTATTATTGCGCTGACCAAATTATAGTTCAAAATAAGGGGTCACTCTATCGGTTCAGAATCTCTGCACTCTGCTTCTCTTCTTTCAACTGGCTGACCTCTACCCAGTCTTCCAGGCTGCACTAACATCATTCCTTTGAGACAAATTTTCTAGTTTCACCCACCCCACTTTCCCTTTCCTGCCTTGCCTATCTCCAAACCAATGTAGGCCTAATATTTATATTTATAAACACATGCGTATATGCGCATTCCTGCACTAGACTGAGTTCCTTGCTGACCGAAACCATTGACGTTTCATGGGTAGGGGCTGCAGCTCAATGGTAGAGTGCTTGCCTGATATATACAAGGCCCCACCACCGGTTAGATTACAGTGGCACCAACACCTATGCATGGCATTTCCCAAAATGGGATGGATAGATTTTAGCTTTGTCTTTACCTCCTCCACCATAATCTCTTATTAGTACCCCTCTTCACCCCAAATAAACATACCATCTACTCAAAGCCAGTGTGCATGCTAGAACGATGTGGAATTAAGTCTGCCTCTAGCACCTCCTTTTCACCAGATTGCTTAGAGAGCCCCTCCTCAATATCATTCAAATTCAATAAATGTCTGTTGGAATGTTTTGTGGGAAGGGGCAATGAAAGGAGCAAGAAACAATTTTGAATAGCTGATTTTTTTTTAATGTGGTCTATTGAGATATAATTTATAAGCCATTAAAAAATGTCCCTTTTCACATATAAAGTTTGATGAGTTTTGAAAAATGCATAGTCATAATTATAACCATCACCATAATCATGATAGAGGACATTTCTATCAGCCTAAAATAATTCCCTTTGAATGACCATAATTTTAAATGAACCCTTTAGAAGAACCACAAAAAAACAATCAATGTAACAGATTACATAATGTAGCCTGGCATCTGGGACAACTTAATGCCTAGCTCCAAAACGAATAGTTTGCTTTCTCTCAGTTCTCATGCCATCATTTGGTTGTGTTGCATTTTCCTTTTGGAGACCTCAAAGCATTGGCCAAACAAGATTTCATTGTTATTGCCTCAAAATCTGACCCAACAGGAGAGATTCATGCTTCATTTCAATGGAATGGTATATCTCTTCCCCAGTCAATCTGCATATTTCTCTTCTTTCAGAGTCTGCCGTTTAAACAGTTTCACAACGTTAGATGTGTTTTTTACTGAGGTGACTAGTAGTTGCATCAACCTGGCACTGTGCCTTTCCTTTATTTATGGATTATATTTCCTCCTGGTGAAAAGGCTCTACATTCCAGGGACACTTGCTTACATTTGGATTTGATTTGGTGGATTAATGGAATGATACAGCAAACAAGTGAATGGCTAAACACATGGATGACGGAAGGCGTGAGAGGCTACCTCCATTTTCAGGATGAGGCAGTGTCTGAGTGACACAGTGAGGTCAGGTGACTGGCACAAAGTCACACACCGAGGACCAAGCCATCCTGGATCAGATGCCAAGTTTATTTTCTTTGCTCTCTCCATTTAGCTATAACACTATTTTTAAAAATTCTCATAAAATACCAGCATGAAAGAGTCAAAGTGGAAAAAATGAGTCACACACAATTAAACTTTTTTTAAAAAATAATTTTAGTATGCAGGGGATAAAATGAGTAAAGATGTGGGGAAAAATTTTCACTTGATAGGAAGTAAAAATGGGTCTCTCATTTACCAGAACTTCCTCTGCATTAAATGGATTTAGTAATACTTTTTGGCAATGCTCTTTGTGAGGTCTTCTTCTTCTTCCATAAAACATTTTGTATATGTCCACTGGGTTTCTTTCTCTCTTTTTCTGAGCCAGGGCTCTTTAGTGAAAAACAAAACAAAACACAATAGCCTTTTTTGATGCCCACTATATCACACCAGCAAAGGAGAGGATACCGAGAAGATCCTACCTAGGAAAAGACGGTCCATTGTTTTACCCAGGCTGCACTTTATCCTCCTTCTCCGCGTTTGCACAGGTCAGGAAAACATTTCATTCTATTCTTGTGGAGAGGCTTTTACAACTGGACCAGGTACCAAAAGAACTTCAATGAGCACAGAATAAAAACAATCTGCATTTTATAAGAAACTCTGATCTAAATGGTCCTAAAAGAAAAAGAAAAGGCTATTCAAGTGTCCCTCCCAAGGGAGTCCACTGCTCTCCAGGCGTGCGCTTTTTGAGCCTGGGGCGCATCCCCTGCTCCTGCTCAGATATACATGAATCTCTCTCTCTCTCTCTCTCTCTCTCTCTGTCTCTCTCTCTCTCTCTCTCTCTCTCTCTCTCTCTCTGGCGAGGCTCTCCCTCCCTCCCTCTGGCTTCTGCTCTTTCTTTACTCCTTCTCTCAGCTGCTTAACTACAGCTCCCACTGGAATTCACACAATCAAAAACAGCTCTCCTCGCGAGCAGCCTCCAGAAGGCATCACCTGGGGCTGAGCGACTTGCTCCCCCACGGGCCGGAACCGCGAGGTGGCTGGGGGGCGGGGAGGTCCCCTTCTCCCGCCCCGGGGGTCGGGGGGCAGCCAGAGCATCTGTCTCCCTGGAGATTGGCCGTATCCCCACCGTCCGGTCCCCTGGGGTCCTGTTGCGGCGATGCTTACGTTTCAGAGCAATGATGGAAAGAGAGAAGCCACTGCTGGTGGCCACTGAAAGCCGGGCGAGGTTGCCGCAGTAGCCGGTGCTGCAGAAGGTGCGAGTGAAGACCTGCGCCCCGCCAGATTCTCCATCCATCCTGCTCCGAATTCATTCACTGTCTTCAGGAGGGAAACCGAGAACCAGATGCACTAACCAGACGGGTGCCACCCTGGATCTATAACTGTCAAGTCCCCACTGTGGAAAATGGTAAACAAAGACATGAATGGATTCCCAGTCAAGAAATGCTCAGCTTTCCAATTTTTTAAGAAGCGGGTAAGGACAGGTTGTGTTTGTATCTTTTGTTTTCCGTGCTCCTCTTATTGCTTGAATGCCTGCGGGGTGGGGGGAAGGGGGCAGGTAAGCCTAAGGTTTGCTTAGCACTTCTGGAACAGCCCCCTTTCTGGTAGCTGTGGTCAAGGTGAGAAGTGTCCTTGCCTTGATTCACCTTTGTTGGTGACAGCAACGGAGAGGGGCTAAGAGTTGCATTGGCTGGAGGGGGCTGGGCTGAGATGCTTTAAAAGGTTTGAGCTGGGAAGGAGGATTTCTCACTCAAAGAGCCCTGGCAAAGATTACAAGGCAGTTTAAAGAGACCTGGCCTGCTGCAGTAATGGGCAGTAATTTAGTCCCGGCTAATTGAATAGCTCCCTCCCTCTTATCTTTGAAGGGCTCAACTTTTCCACACCTTTCATTCATTCAAGGGCTGATGTATTGTATTAGCTTCATCCGTCAGGAGTAGCAGCTCTGGCTTCTCAAATCCATTGGCTATGTCTCTAGCTATGGTCTAAATAGCAAAGGACTAGAGTGACCTTTTACAGATATGATGGAATCCAGCATTTTAAGTACTCTATTTTACTAGGCGCCTGTTCGAGGCTAGCCTGGACTACGTAACGACACCCAGTCTCAAAAAAAACCCCAAATCAACAAATCCTCTATTTCAGGTTGCCTCAAATTTTGCTTAATGTATCTGTCCCCTCCCCGCTGTTTTTTTAAAGACAGAGTGGGGTGGCTTTTATTTGAAGTATTATTCAGAGTTATACTGCTATATGCTTTTATTTAAGTTCCTTGTTCTACCATTCACAGTATTAATAATGCAATCAATATAGGCTGTAAATGAACACTTTTTTTTCCTTTTTGTGTGTGTGTTCCACAAATAAGCTCAGTTTGTTGCAATGGCCACACTGGTGGTCTATAATTTGGCAAATTTATACATAAGTGGGGGGTAAGAACTGAAAGGATGAAGATGACTGACACTTTATGGAGAATGTTTCTTAAGCTGCAGGAGCCTCCTTCAGCCCCCAGATGTCCTGTTCTACTTAATACCCCAGGGCAGGTTCTGCAAAATAACTCTCTCTTCCTTCCCATCATTCATGTTCTTTCTGTGTTGTGCCAGAAACACAGCCCTTCAGTTAACTCAGCAGCAGAACATAATGAATTACAGGCTGGGCTGGACACCTCCCAGCACCAAATGGTCAGCCGGGGATAGAAACCCAGGCAGCTTGTCATGCCCAGCCAGAGGGCCAGCAGAGACTCCCAAAATACCATGACTGACTTCTGCATCAGTCAGGCAAAATCTCTGCTCAAGTCCATGGCCAAACCACATGCATTGAAACCAAAACAAAACCAACTCCTGCAGCTGGAGTACCAGGCAAGGTCTTTCACTACTGAGTCTGCAAACTGATTGAAACCAGTCAATGTAACCTCACAGAATTCTGTGCTGCTGCTCAGGTTTTGTCTATAACCAAAATGTTTCTTTCTGAGGGAAGAGCCCCTTTGTGAAGATTAAGTTCAAAGAACAAATATTTTGCTAATAAAAAACACCATGGCTCTTTTATTCAGCACTTAAACTCTTCAGTCCTTTCTAAATTAACTCATTAATTTGTTGATCTATGTTGTTTTTTAAGCCAGGCTCTCATCACATTGCTTATGCTGGTCTTGAACTCCTGGGCTCAAGTGATCCTCCCATCCCAGCCTCTCAAGTACTGGGGTTTGTCTTAATTATTTTATTTGGTGGTATTGGGGGTATTTATTTTCTTTCCATGGCAGGGGATCAAACCCAGCCTCAGGCATGCAAGTGTTCTACCATTGAACTACACTCCTGGTCCTGGAATATTTTAGAACTCTTTTTGTCGGGTATCCTTAATCAACCAAGCAGCAGTCACAAAGATTTTTGTTTAAATAATTACCTCTTATATTCTTTCCCATCCAAATGAACTACTAGAGATACTAGTTTACCATCTGGTTTCATTTTACTCAAAAGCATAATTTACCAATACACTTTAATTAGTGCTTATGCAGAACTTGAATTTCACAAAGAACAAGCCAGGATACCAATGTCTTCTCTGAGTTTGCAGAGAGAAGCAAGTTCACACCAAGACAACCAGCAGGCAGCTTCTTATAACTTGGGCCTGTCAGTTGCTGGAGATAGGCTCAGAAATCCCCCAGTCACCTCTCCTGACTCCTTAAGGACGGCTAGCTAAGTAGAATATGACTCCCTATCAAGTCACTGACAGCCTTAGGGATAAAGTCCTAGATTCTTGTCTACTTCGCTTTCTTCCACATCTGGTTTATTCTGTACTCTAACTGTTCATTGTGGTTTACTTTTGCCTTTTTTGTTTGTTTGGTTTTTAATTTCACATCAAATATTCAAGAAATGTATAAAGTATTGAAACAATACTGAGATTTGTCCCACCTTCTCCCCCATCTTCTTCCCTTCCCCAGAGATAACTATTGTCATATCGGTGTTGGTACATCTCAGAACTTTTCTATGTATCGACAAACACATTTATATTCTATATGGTCTTTGTTTTTAGCCAAGAATAATCCATTTTCCTATGTTCTATTGTTGAAGTTCCACACATTTCTGCATATTTTATTTTTAACCTAGCTAGACAGTCTTACAAAGTGAACCTTTGTCCGGTGCCCACATTGAACCATGAATAGATCTTGATTTTTTAGGGCTCACTAAAAAGACTATAGCTTGGACTCAAAATTTTAATCATACTAGCTAGCCTCTGAGACATTCCAGAGGGAAACTATGGAGCTACCAAAAGAGACTATAGATGAACTGCTCTCATGACTGTCCACCAGCCACCATTTATGAGTGCTGTGCGCCAGGCCCTTGGGCCAACTGCTTTCAGTGTATTATCTCACTAATCCTCATAGCAATCCTGTGAAATAAGGAAAATCAGTAAATATGCAAAGTGCGATTTAGAGAGATAAAACAACTGGCCCAAGGTCACACACTTAAAAAGAAACAAAGCCAAAATTTAAATTTTATTTGACCCAAAGCCAAGTTTGGTTTCTTTGTTGTTGTTGTTGTTTGTTTATTTTGAGACAGGATCTTGCCCAGGCCGGCCTGAAACTATTTGCCTCCAGAGTGCTTAGTGGGATTACAGGCACCAGCCACCATAACCAGCCCCAAATCTGATAGTCTTAATCCAGACTTTTTTGATTCCAAACCATCCTCCCCTCCCCTCTTTTTATCCACTGCAGATTCCCAACCCGCTGTGAAACCGGTATGCAACCACCCAATGTTTAAAGCCTATTAGTGCAGCCCACCCTCAGCAGACAAACCTCTCACAACTCGTGTGCAGCCCCTCAGGACTGAGTGACTAGACCCGAGGCACAGCATCTGAGCAAAACCAGTTCTGAAGCTGCTTCCACAAAATCCTCTGGGCTTAGTTTTTCAGCCTTGAATTTAAGAGCTCAACTAAATCAGCTTAATTTCATTTAGTTGAGAATTGCTAACCTCAACTAGATAAGATTGTACTTTCATTCTCTGTGTTAATGATACCTTCGCAGTGAATGTGTATGGGGTTATATTTTATTCTTAGTGTCTCCCCAAATTCATTTAAGATGAATGGAAAAAATGTCCTTATCAATTTTAGTCTGACAATCCAAGAGCTTTAAAAAGTATCAATCCTGCTGAAGGTAATCCATTTTCATGGATTTAAAGATTCCTTCCTGGCTCAGATTCTTATGTAATGATTCAAAAAAACACACATAAATGACCTTTCTCAAACTTGATAATCCTTTTCTCGAAAGATGCAAAAGACTTTCATAGATGTGATTCCATTACCTTTCGTCAAATTTCAAAGGCTATCTAGCCATATAGAATTTGACATTTGCAATGACCCTCAGAAGTCCTCTGACTAGCCTCCCTCTTTTAAAGATGACAGAACCAAATGCCTCAAATTAGAATGGAACTAAGCCAGGCTTCACCAGTGAAGTGTTCACTTTGCAGATCTACAATGCTTTTCATTCCATTACACCATCAAACTAGTCCAGCGTTTCATCCCTCATTCATTCATTTTTCAACAAGTACAGTAGGGGCAAAATATAGTTTCTTGTTTTCATGGAGCTAACTGCCTGGTGACCACCATGCTAAGATGCTTCTGTCTTGACTCAGTATGTCATGACTATGTGCATACAGTAACAATAGCTTTTATGATAACTAACACTTATATGGCACTGCTTTTCCTGAGCACTGTTCTAATTGGAAGTACACTGCACATTTAAGTCTTCACATACAAGAACTCAAGGAAGATACTGCTCACGGATGAAGAAAATACATCAGGTTTTTACATCAAGTCACACAGTCAGTGAGTGTCAGGAGGAGGGTTTGGGTCCAAGCACTAGTTTCCAAAGTCCATGCCTTCTAGGACATTCAACAAGCCACCTGTGAGGGAGGATGAGTGAAATGAGTGACTGCCTTTGCTTTCTCCTTGCTCTAACCTGAGGGAGAAAGGGAAACAATGGGTTTCAGCCTGCTTCTGGTGTCAAGTGAAATTCAGCCCCTCTGAAGTGGTTATTCTTGACAACTGTTTCACAAACAGTCTTCTTTTACTGTTCATTGCCCTTCTATTGTGCCAGCTTAAAGCATCTGAATTGGAATAGCAAAGGTCCTTTTCTTATGGAAAACCCTGAAGTCTTCTTAAAGAGATAACATTTATTGAGCACTTACTGAGGGTCGACACTATACAAAGCACTTTCCTGGTGAAACCTTCACAATCACCCCCATTACAGCCATTTTATAGCCCAAGAAACTGAGGGTCAGAAAGGTTAAGTAAATTGTTGAAGGTCACCAAGGTAGGAAGAAGTGTAGTCAATATTCACATTCAGCAGTCAGCTTTCAGCAGCCAGTCTTTTTGTGAGCATACCTGGAGCATGCTGCTGTGATGCTAAATATTCTTGTCACAGGCGTGTGGCTCTCCAGTCAGGACACTGTATTTGTGACCTTGATCTCATAGCCATGGAAGAGATAAGTTTTCTAA